GCCAGAGCTCCTGTCTCAGCTCTGCCTTGAGTTACCCTGTGCTGTCGATCTCTTCATCCACAAAGCAAGAACAAGAAGTGTTGGCCTCGCAGAGATGGAGAGAATGTGGGCTCCACTGGGGCATGGGAATGTGGGCTCTGACTTGACCCTGAAGCTAGGAAGGAGAAAAGAGAAGGCCAGGAGAGGAAGAGGGGGGACAACTTCAGAGTCCCCATAGTTAGGGGCCAGCAAGTAAGGCACCAAGTTGGGTATGAAGACAGAAAGAGAGAGAGGCACAAGAGGGCAGCAGGGCATCAATCAAGAAGGGCAGAGGGAAGGCTCAAGTCTGCAGCCAAGACCCCTCCAGGAGCCCTGTGAGGATGCAGTTTCCATAAAGAAGAGTTCGGTCAAAGGAGAAAGTTCACTGAGCTCAACAGAACAGCTGATCCCGCGTTAACAAAGGTTCTGCCCTCCCCACACAACAGTCAACGGTTCCCTGTTACTATTTCAATTGAGTTTAAGTTCACTTAAAATCCACATAAGTTGGAAACTCACTTCAAGCCAGGTATAAGTAGTACATGCCTATAATCTCAGCCCTTAAGAGGCTGAGGCAGGAGGATTGTGAATTCAAGCACAGCCCAGACTGAACAGCAAGACTCTGTCTCAAAATTAAGTAAATATAAAAATAAAAATTCAGGTCCTAGGTCACATTAGTCACACTGTGTAATCACACATCAGTAAGTACCGTGACTCCTTCACTAGAGAAGGTTCCGGTGAACAGAATGGAAACTCCAGCACCGTTTCTCACAGGAAAGATGCCTTGACTGTATGGTGGAATGAGGGCGGGGGCAAAGAGGAGGGAGCAAAGAAAGGCAAAAGGGCAATGACAAACTGACACATGCAAGAATTCCCAATCCGGGGCACGCAGGACCAGAGTAAGGGAACGAGACTGTAGAATAAGTTTAGGCTAGACTTAGGACAAACACAGAGACATTCCTGAATTCCAGACCAAAACAGTAAGGTCACAGAGAGATAGAGAAGGAAATACTTGGAGACTCACACAGGAGGGCACAGCTGGATTTACAGAGGTGGACGGCAATACGGAGAAGGAGAACGTGGATGATGCCCTGTAGCTTATCCATCAAAGGCCACTTTTTAAAAGGGAACCTGGAATTTAATAGATAGAAAGCCATGGCCCAGAGCAAAGTGGATGCAGGCCGAGTTAGTGAAGAATACAATTCTCTTGTTTCAGAGAAAAGCAAGCCTTCATGAAATTGGAGCCAGCATCAATTTAGAACAGAACCAGTCCAAAGGTCTTTGTGACTTTCTCCTGGATGACTTGGCTGGTGAGGAGAAGAAAACAGACGATGAGGGTGGTTTGGGGATTGGAGACTAGAATATAAGAAGTCCAAGTCTGTGCACAGTGGCACACACTTTTAAGCTACGCACTCTAGCGGCAGAAGCAGCCAGATTTCTGGATATGAGAATAGCCTGGTCTACATAGTAAGATCCTGACTAAAAAAAAAAAAAAAAATTAACATGTCAAAACCTGTCAAGACGAAAGTCTGTGTTTTTCAAAGTTCACATGTGCTGATGTGTGTGAGAGAGAGAGATCTGGAGCCCTGAAGATGGACTGAAGCGTTACAATGACACAGATGAAGAGGCTGGAGTCTTCCGTGATGGTTAAAACCAGGAACAGTAGGTGCAAAGTGGAAAGGCTCTTAAAGATCAATTTTAGTGGTTGGAAGAAACCATAGGCAGAGCCATAGGGGTCAAGGCGGAGCCACAGGGGTCAATGAGGAGCCATGGTGGGGGGTCAAAGGAGGAGCACAAGGGTCAAAGCTGAGGTACTTCGAGGCCATTGAGTTGGAGAGTCAGTGTGAACCCAAAATCACTAGCAAAGCTAGCAGAGGGGAAAATGAGGCTAGCTGCTCCTGGCTCGTTGTTTATGACTTTCTCTGAGCCTCAAGTGAAGTGGTTTCCCTGTCCGAGTGAGCAGCAGTAACCAGACAAGCTGTTTTCTCCCTCCTCCTCCCTCTTTTGTTTGTTTGTTTGTTTGTTTTTCTTTTTAGGCAAACAAACAAGCAAAAGAGCCTTCTTTTTTAAATTGTGTGTGTGTGTGTGTGTGTGTGTGTGTGTGTGTGTCCTGACACATACTCGTAAGTCAGAAGGCCACTTAGAAGAGCCAGTTCTGTAGTTGTACTGTGCTTAGATTCTGAGCCTCAGGCTCAGGTTGTCCACCTCGGTGACAGGTGCCTTTACCTGCTGAGCCATTTTGCTAACCTAAGCCTTGGTTGTTTTTTGTTCGTTTGTTTATTTCCTTTACCACCCTAATGATTCCATGTTGATATTTGAGGGAGTCTAAATAAGCTCCAGGATTTTTCAAAATGTGTAGACCGACTCTGAAGGGCCACCAGGTTTGGCAAGTACCAAACCAGGAGCACCAGAATGAAGGCCTTGAGAAGACAGTAACACGTTCTAAAAGTTAATACCTTGGAGGTGACACTAAGGAACAAGGGCAAGGTCATCCTGGTTCTGGTGAAAGCATCCCACTCAGAAAGGGATGTTTTGGAGGAAGTTCAGTCTCACAATATGGCAGAGGGGAGAAAGGGGGATGGACTCAGAGACAGGAAAATGAAAATACAGGAGTGGGCGGCAGGGGGCTCTTGTACCTGTATGCTAATCAAATTTCTAATATGTAAACCATTAAAGATTTCTAAGCCCTCAGGTAAGCAAGCTGGCAGAAGCCCACTAACTGAAAACTTGGCTTCCCTGCTCACATTTTTACACAGAGAAAGTCAGATTCCCATGAATATCAAGAGTGTCCTTGAAACACAAAGTCAGAGTCATCTCAACTGTCCAGTGATAGGAATCACGAGTACCTGTTGTGGCCTCTTGAAGGTAAAGGAAGTTTACGGATGGAAAATGGCTTTCTGTGTCATTTTTAGTACCAGCCAGTGCTAAAATTAGAAAAAGTACCACAACCTATAAGTCACCTCTACACACACACACACACACACACAGAGGCAGATACAGTGTGCATTTCTTAATAGAGAACATATTTACTCTCAAGAACCTAATTTTTAAAATTTTTATTACATTTATTCGTTTAGCTTCTGTGCCTTGTGTGGGTGTGGAGGTCAGAGAACAACTTGTGGGGGTTGGATGGTTCTCTCCTTTCACAGTGTGGGTTCCAGAGATCAAACTCGGGTCCTCAATTTTAGTGGCAAGGACCTTTACCCCCACCGAGCCATCTTGCCAGCCCACATCCCCAAATCTTCAAAGAGCAAATGCAAATGTCTGCCCCTAGTTCTAAGAGATTCCCTCTGTAGATCCAAACCAGGCCAACAATATTTCTGTGAAATAACCTCTAACAACAGCAGACTTTAAGCTGAGTGCACGCATGCGCGTGTCACACACACACACACACACACACACACACACACAGAGCTGCACATTGAAGAAATGACTCACTTAATTTGCCACTGCCTGCCACTACTGGGTTTTGATTTTACCTGTTCAGACACAAAGTTTCCTATCAGATCAACTACAGGAAAGAAGTAGTCAGCAGCTTGAGCCCTGACTGGGTTCAGTATTTAAGTTCACCGAAGGGATTTTAACCTATGCATTTTAAGGAGCCTTTCTGGACCACAGACTCTTTCCTCCATAAAATGGTAACATTTCTTGCCACTTTGGAAGCCAGCTCATTGGAAACCCCTTGCGGAATAAACATGGTTAAGTCTTGCATACCCAGAGGGGTCCTTCCTCAGCTCACAGTACCAGCAAAACAGCCTTGTGCTGCAACTGGATAGAACCAGAGCCCTTCCTTTCAAAGGATGAAAACCAGAGAACCCGCGGGAGGAATGTGGCTAACCCACTCAAGGTCACACAGCTCCAATTGGAGATGATAGACTTGTCCCTAGTTCTGGCAAACTCTGCACACCCTTGGCTCTCCTCGAGCAGTCCCTGGGGGCCTCTCCTGTCTGCTAGCTTGCAGCCCCCGCGAAGATGCAATGCCACTTGCGCTCTGCACCTAACTTCAGCCCTGCGCATCAGCATGCAGTTAACCCTCTCGCGTCCAGAGTGTCACGTGGGGCACGCGCAGCTTCATCCCTCACCCCCTCTCCCCAGCACTATCCCATGCCTATCCATAGAGTGGTGGCTCCAAGGTCACATCGATGGTCCCTGCGGGAGCACCCGCTGCTTGGATCCAGAGGATGCCCAGACGCGTGGGGAGGGGAGACACCTCTGAAGACTCACCCGCGCGCGGATCTGGCGCGCCGCGGCTGCCCATATCTTCGCCGGCGCTCTGGGTGCGGTGGCCGCGAGCGCCGGGCTATGCGGGGCGAACCCGGCTGCGGGCCCGCGCTCCAATCAGCGCGCGCGCGGCCCGGTCCGGGGTTCGCGGCTCCCCCACCCGGGAAGGGCGCGAGCCGCCGCGCGCCTCCCAGAGCCGCTTCCGGGCGCGTTGCCTGGACGCGGTTGCCGTGGCAGCCCGAGCTGGAGGCTTTCCCCGCGCGCCCGCGCCCAGCCCGCCGGCGCCCCTCCTCCCGCCGCGTTCCCACACTCAAAATAGCCTTTCCGCGGCGCCGCGGGTCCCCACCCAGTTCGCTGCAGGGAGTCGGCGGGCGGGGACTTGCTTACAAGAACCTCAGTCCCGTCGTAGAGCGCGTCGACTAGGAGGCAGAGGTAGGTGTAGGGAAGGATGCTTGAATGAGAGCCCAGCCTTCCAGGTCCCAATGTCACCAGTCATTTTTCCGGGAATCCTAGCATCCCTTATGTACCAAGCCTGGTTCCAACAAAAATAGTTAACTGCTTTCCCCACCTCAAACTGGGGAGAAGTTAGGGGTGAGACCATAATCCAGGAAACAGCTCCTTCCAGCGCCCCACCAGCACAGGTGATGGAACCCTCCAGGCGACAAGTGTCTATGAGGGAATCACCGAGCCCCGTGTACATCGGCCCAAGAGACAGGACCCCTGGAAAAATGCTACACTGCTTTTCCTCCCAGCCCTCTTCCTACCTTCTGCTTCCTTCCCAGAGAGTTCCAGCTTTGCCCTCTTTCCCATCGGTGCTGGATTCTCAGCAGGAATCACTCACAATTTTGCTTCCTCTCTGTAGGTGGGGTTTAAGCAGAGTGGAGGATCCCACCTTTGCTCGCCTCACTGCGTCTGGTTCATAGCTCTTACGTAGAGGCATGGGCTTACCCGGTGCAGGCGCTCCTGTCTAGAGGCTCTCCTCTGCCCCCACCCCCAACCCCCAATTCAAGGGAAGCTGGGAAGAACGCAGGCAGTGCAGCCTCTTGGGAAGGTCTGGTCTTGGAATCCTCGATCCTGTAGTTATTTATGTGTCGTCTTGGGTGTTCTGCAATTTACTTGCCTGTAAAGTAACAACTCCCCAACACACACACACACACACACACACAGAGAGAGAGAGAGAGAGAGAGAGAGAGAGAGAGAGAGAGAGAGAACTAATGAATATAACATTCATTCAGCTAACAGTATTTACTGAATGTGTGCCAAGTGCTAGAAACTGCTTTAGCACTAAGGGAAATGGAGAAGATGGAGATGGAGAAGGGGAAGACACGGACTCTGCTCTTCTCCCGGCCATTGCAGCCTAACACACATTAATCAAATAGTTAGATGTGTATAAAAAAGACTGTGGTGACCAGGAAGTCATGGCCTTAAGTCCTGTCTCACAGAGATCTCACTTAACAGTGTTCTTTTAGTGTGATGGCTTCTCTTTCCAAATCACCTGGTACGCAGTCTGTAAATACTGGTAGGATTCAATCTTATGGTGGAAGGTTCTCTGGAAATTTCCACCATTTAAGATATATTTAAGGAGGTGAGGAGATGGCTCAGTCGATAAAGCGCTTGCCTTGCAAGTGTGAGGACCTGAATTCCATCCTCAAAGACCAGGGAGAGAAAGAAAAGAGAAAGGAACTCGTGTCCTGCACATATCCCCACACAGGCTCCCACACATGCATAAAATACATAAACATGTTTGTCTAAACCAGCCATGGGATTTGATGTTCACTTGTAACTCCAGAGCTGGGGAAGCAGAGACAGGCAGTCAGATCAGGACTGGTCATGCAGTCTAGCCTTCTTGATGAGTTCTAAGTCTGCCTCAAAAAGGTGAACCATGCCTGATGAATGATATTTGAGGCTGTCCTATGACATCCACACACCCACACCATAACACACACACGAATGAAACATATTACTTGCCACAGTGTCTGGAAAAACACAGTTGTTACCATAAAGTGGCAGCACTCCTCACAGTGAGGCCAGAGACAGGTTCTAAGGCTTCTTACCGGTCCCACAGGCTGCCTCCCAGCGTAGGGTGTGCCTCTCACAACGCTCGACAGTCTGGTCCTGTGCGTTTGTTTCCTTCCCTCTCATTCCCCCTCTGTTCCCTCCCAATCCTGCTCCACCCTGCCACACGCCTGGAGTCAAGGAGTCAAGGTCCTAATAAGGGGAGAGTGGAGAGTTGTCACTTCTGATGGCCTTCAAAAGCACAACTTTACTTACCACAACCCTCCTCACACTCTGGGGTGAGGAAGGGGAATACACACACACACACACACACACACACACACACACACCTATTTAAATTCTTAAACAATCACGCTAATAAACATAAGACACCACATTTTTAAAGATTCCTTTGCAAGGCCTGGTGGCTCATACCTGTAAATCTAGCCATCAGGAGGCTGAGGTAGGAGGACTGGACTCCATTGTGATTTCCAGTGAGCCTGGGTTACAGAGGAGACTCTGCCTTAAAGAAAACAAAATGTAAAAACAATTCACTTAATTTTGTTTTTAAGCCATAATACTAGTTCTAAAGTTTCAACAGTATCAAATCAGGCCTCTGACTTCCCGATTCTACCCCCCCCTTTTTTAAGGCAGTTTTTAATCCTAATTTAAGCTTTCTCTACTCTCTGCCTACCCCTTTACACACCTGTCAGGTAAATTGCAATCACATACTCAGTGTTCCAGAATAGTTTATATTGTAACTCACTATAGAAAATGGATTCTTTTTCTTGTGTTACTTTAATTACCAAACTATGGAGTTATCACAAATTATTATTATATGTTAGCAGAGCTTATTACTAAAATTTTTTTTTCAAGGAACGAAAACCCAACTTGACTTGCCTTCACGAGGGACTACAACTGTAAAAGTAAAAATGGTTTTTGTCAATGAAAGCTCAGCAGGTAAAGGCATTGGCAGCCAAGCCTGAGACATGGTCTGGATCTCTGAGACCCACATGCAGAGGCCAGAATTGACCCCTGTGAGTTGCTCTCTGAACTTGACACTTGAACCATGGCACATGCACACTCCCCTCCCCAACACACAAACAGATAAATGTGATTTATAAAAATTAATAAAAAAGTAAGCAGTCTTATAAACTTGGTATTATAATGTTAGTTACCGACAGTCATTGACTATAAATAACTTGTCTAGTCCTCGAGCCTGGGCCGTTGAGGAAGTTTGCTGAGTTCACAGCCTGTCTTGGCACTGATGTAGAAGATACAATGGATAGACTCTCAAACTGACCAGCAAGCAGACTCAAATAGTAAAGATGAAGACCAGGCAGATGGCTTGGTGTATAAAGTGCTTGTCATGAAAGCATGAGGCCCAGAATTTAGACCCCTAGAATCTGTTTATAACACTAAGCGGGCATGGCGGTTAGCCTGTAATTTCAGCATTGGGAGGCAGACATAGGAGATCTCAGAAAGAAGCTCGCTGGCTAGACGAGCCAGAATGGTGAGTTCTGGGATCAGTGAGAGATCCTGCCTCAAAAAATAAAGTAGAGGGATCAAGGAAGACACCTAGTATCAGTCTTTGACCTCCTCGTGTCCACACATATGGGAATATACAAGTATACATACATAACACACACACACAAATAGATAAATAAAAATTCGAGAGCCTAGGTTGGTCAAAACTGGTATTTGTTGGGCCTGGAGAGGGGGCTCAGTAGTTAAGAACTGGAGTTACAGATGGTTGTGAACCACTGTGTGGGTGCTGGGACTCAAACCTGGATCTCTGGAAGAGCAGCCACTGCTCTTAACTGCTGGGCCATCTCTCCAGCCCCATGTTTTGTTTTTAAACCCACTTCGTTCAATTAGTGCTGTCTGTTGCACTAATTGGATCCACAAACGCTGTCTTCTTCTTGTGCAGGTGACCTTAGCTACTGTGGGTTTGTGGGTCCCACATGTCATGTACAGGAGACTCCATTTCACAGCACCACCCCTCCCCCCTCACTCTGCAGCTCTTACGTTCTTTGTGCCTCTCTTCTGCAGTATTCCTTGAACCTGCTGGTCACCATTTAGAGAGTCGCCACAGTGTAAGGAAGGGGGAAAAGACTTCAAGGGGTGTTCTCTACAACCTAGTAAACATTCCTGACTGTTTTGCTACTGCGAATGTGTGATCCCAGTGAAGGAACAGGAAACACAGCACATCATTCATGCTGACTGACAGTCAGAACTCCGTCCTTCATTTCGTCATCATGGCTTCCTCTTCACACTATTTCACCATGGTCAAGGAGCTGGCTCAGTAGGTGAAGGCAGGTCCTCGGGACCAACACAGTGGAAGGAAAGCTCCCATTTCCTCTGCTTGTCTGTGATCTCTACCTACTCTTGGATGCACACACAAACAAACAAAATGTAAAAAAAATTAAATCAAAAATGAAATACTCCAGCAGTTATGAGACCCTTGAGTCCTCCACCCCCAGCAAAGGAAGAGTTCAAGCTGTTGGACGTTGTCTTCTTAAAAACTTGGCACAACTAATTAATACAACATATGTATTATTTATGTTATGATTTTTCTTTTCCTTTTTTGGTAATAATGACAACTCAAAGGACATTCATTTTTTTCCTCTTTTACATATAAACATAACGGATATTTATATATCCAAATATACTATAATTGACTAGTTGTTTTGCTAGTAATTACTCTTCATGTCTAAGCTGATTCACAATTATGGTTTATATATACATAATATAGTGTTAATTGCTGTCTAGCCATCTCAGAAATATTTTTTAACTTTTTGTTGGTTCTTTGTGAATTTCACATCATGTAACCCAGTCTCATCCATCTCCCCTCATACCCACCCTCCACCCTTGCAACCTGAACCCCCAACAGAGAAAAAAACTTGTTGTGGATGCTGTAGTGTGTCACAGTGTGCCCACAGTACACCCCTTTGTCCACACTTCTTTGCTTCCAAATGTTCATTGCAATGAATCATTGGTCTGGTACGAGGCCTCTGGCCTCTGCTATTCTACTGATACTGGACCCTCACTGGGACATCTCTTAGGTATCCTGTGGTCGCCCTGTGTCATGGAGATCCTGTAGTTTTGGATCTGTAGGACTGGCTCTTTCATGCACTCCCAACAATTCATCAATGAGGTAGATGTTGGGGCGGGTCAATTCAAAGCCCTGGATCTGGGTCTGCAAGGTATCTGAGCAGGTCAGCTCACTAACTCTCCCACTCTCATGACCTGAGGGCCGACTCACCAGCAACTCCTCCCCACCAACCAGAGCCACCTCTACCCTGCTGCCTCGGAGAGGTGCAGGGCCCACTCTCCCAAATGCTGCAGCAGGTGAGAGGCAGAACCAGCTCTTCCTCTCTCATGAACCCAGGATCAGTTCTCCTGCCTGCCAAAGGTGCTGAGGAGTAAGGGGGTGGGGGGGAGAGTATCTCTCCCTCATCCATTCCACAGGGAGATGAGTGGCAAGGCCAACTATCTCCTCCATGCTCATATCCTCAGGCTGGCTCACCCACAACTCCCAAAAGTAAGTGTGTGTGTGTGTGTGTGTGTGTAAGTGTGTGTGTAAGTGTGTGTATAAGTGTGTGTAAGTGTGTGTGTAAGTGTGTTGTGTGTGTCTGTGTGTGTAAGTGTGTGTGTGTGTCTGTGTGTGTGTGTAAGAGTCTGTGTGTGTGAGTGTGTGTGTGTGAGTGTGAGTGTGTGTGTGTGTGTGTGTGCTGCTGCTGCTGCAGAGTCACAGACCCAGTAGCAGCACAGATCAGGACCCCACCATGGTCCTAGGTGGCCATTACCTGGCTACTCACATCAGGGTGTTCCTCACTACCCTTATGTCTACATTTCTGCCTCTCTTCATTGTGTTTACATCCTTCTGTTTCTCTTTCTCTTACATTTCTCCACCACTTACTTTCTCCTCTTAGTGGTGCCCAGAGTTTCTGAGTGTGTGAGTCATCTCAGGAATGATCTCAGGAGTGTTATGCACCTGTTTGTTCATTCTAGCACCGGGGAGGGGAGGGGTCATCTCAGGCATTGTCTGGTGCCACACACACACCTGCCCTCCAGGCCTCCTCAGCACCAGACTGGTGGGCATCTTAGGCTAGTCCCTGTCCAGGCCCCATGGCCCTGGTCTGGTGATCATCTTGGGCTTGCTCCTCACCCAGGAGCAACTCCGCCCTAGTGGTCCCATTTGAGGGTTTGTCGGTCTCAGGCTCACTCCCACTAGGGGCCCGCAGTCCAAGTGGGGCTCTTCTAGTCTCTAGCTCACTTCCTGCCCTGCAAGCTCATCTAGGCCTGCATGGCCCCAGACTGCTGGTCATCTCAGGTAGGCCTGCATGGCCCCAGACTGCTGGTTATCTCAGGCTCTCTTTTTGTTTCAGGGAATGTTAGGGTGCCAATCATTCAGATGTTCATAGGTCAGAACACTGAATATAGACATGGCCTCTCCCCTCTCTGTCACCTACTGACACACATGTGACACAGCAACCACACCTGCAGCACCTTTAGGGGCAGGGGAGTTTTTATTTGTTAATTAGTTAGTTAGTTAGTTAGTTAGTTTGCTTGTTTAGCGACAACTAAGCACAGCCAGAAAAAAAGCATAAAGTATTGAGAAAGTCCTTCTTTGAGGTATTTATGTCTTAACTTATGTAACTGCTGGTGTAAAGAGGGCAAATCCAGCCTTGGGTGTGTTTAAATAACTCACAACTGAGAGTTAAGATGGCATGATATGACTTGCTACAGAGATAAAGATTTTTTTCTCCAAAGAGTTTGTGGCCAGAAATTCTAAAATAAGCTTCTAACGACATGCATTCACCCTAAACTCAGTTTCCCAGCAAGAGAGCACAGTAGAAAACCCCACTGCATGTCCATTTTGGAAATGCTTTTCTTCTTTTATCCAGTAGCTTTCAGAAAATAAGCATCTTGAGCCTGGCATGGTGATGCACACCTTTAAGCCCAGCACTCAGAGGCAGAGGCAGGTGGGTATCTGAGTGAGGCCAGCCTGGTCTACAGAGTGAGTTCCAGGACAGCCAAGCTTACACAGAGAAACCCTGTCTCAAAGAAGAAAAGAGAAAGAAAGAAAGAAAGAAAGAAAGAAAGAAAGAAAGAAAGAAAGAAAGAAAGAAAGATAGATAGATAGATAGATAGGGAGGGAAGGAGGAAGGAAGGAAGGAAGGAAGGAAGGAAGGAAGGAAGGAAGGAAGGAAGGAAGGAGAGAAAAAGAAAAAAGACCATCACCACCAATAAGTATCTGCTGAACAGCCCCCACTTCTAACAGTCTGAGCAGGACAGTGTTGAGGTATTCTCAGGCAGGTCATGACACACAATAAACAGTGAGGTCCCACAGCATATGTCAATCCTTTTTTTTTTTTGGCTACTTTGCCAAGATACGTGTCATTGGACATCAATCTTCATAGGTAGGAGAAGATAATTTTTACTTCTGCTCAAGAACAAATTGGAATGCTGCGATCGGGATGCAGCTTAGCTGGTGGAGGGCTTCCTGACATGCATGAAGCCCGAGGATCCGTCTCTAGCATGGCACACATGGAGCTTAGTGGCTCATGCCTGTCATCCTAGCACCTGGGAAATAGAGGCACCAAGATCAGAAATCCTAACAGGGCTAGCTTGGTGTAGAACATTTGCCTAATGTGTGAAAAGCCATGAGTGCAATCTCCAGCAATAAACAAACTGATAGATAAAAGAATGATAGATGGTAGACAGACAGATAGACAACTGACCAATAGATGATACACAGAGTATCCTACCTAGTTTATATCAATTTGACACAGCTGAAGTCATCTGAAAGGAAGGAACCTCAATTGAGAAAATGCCTCCATCAGATTGGGTTGTAGGCAAGCCTCCATCAGACTGGGCTGTAGGCAAGGGCATTTTCTAGGTCAGTGATTGATGTGGGAGGGCCTAATCTGTTGTGGGTGGACCACACCTGAGCTGGTGGTCCTAAGTGCTAGAAGAAAGCAGGGTGAGCAAGCCAGTAAGCAGCACTCCTCCCTGGCCTATGCATCAATCAGCTGCTGCCTCCAGGCTCTTGCCATGCTTGAGTTCCTGCTCTGACTTCCTTCAATAAAGAAGTGTGCTGTGGAAGTGTGAGACAACACATTTGTCTCCAAGCTGCTTTTGGTTATGGTGTTTCATTACAGCAGTAGAAACCCAAAGGCACACAGATAAATAAATAGACTACATTAGATTAGATTATCATAATAGACAATACAAGTTGGTCGTGGTGACATAAGCCTGTTATCCTGGTACTTAGGAAGTGGGAGGCAGGAAGATGAGGAGTTCACGGTCAGCTTCAAATTTGTGGTGAGTTTTAGACCTGTCTGGCTCTCCGGAGAATCTTTCTCTCAAAAGAAAAAAAAACTACATCTTGCACTTAAAATAAAATTAATAGTATAGAGATGCTCTTAAAAACGTAACTTTCTATCACAATCGCCCTGGTTTCCCCGTCAACATTTGACTATACTGAACCTGTCTTCAGGAGCCTGTCTAGGTGCCCTAGGCTTCCCCATAAGGGACCTGACCCTGCACACCATACAGAAAGCGTGGTCACTGTGAACTCAGGAAATAGCTTTTTTTTTTCTTCTCCCTGGAAGCATAAATACTCAGATGACATTTTTTTTTCTTTGCCCCGAGAAAACTCATGCTGTGAAGGCATCACAAGCTGTCTGTCTGTCTGTCTGTCTGTCTGTGCTTCATTGAGTTGGTTAGCATCCCTTTGACTCGGACTCCCACTGTCAAACACAGGACAACGTAGTACCTGCCTCTTAGGGCCCTGCTGAAGGTCAGGGGCAGTGATTCACAAAGGGGACCTTGAACACTTCCAGTATTATTTCTTGTATTACTTAGCATGTCCAATGTAGGAATTTTATTATAATTTTCTCCCAAGCCCTTGTCAGCTCAGTGACTATGTAACAAATAGTCAACAATTTCGTCCATCAAATGCAGACAGAATTTGGCCGTGAGTCTGCCTGGCTCAGTCTTCCCATTATTACTGATACACATGCCTACCTACCTACTGTCAGCCATCACCTCCTTCCCTCATGTGTGGATGACTGTCAATGTCCTTGTCAGACATACACTGCTCTTTGTGCCCTGGGTCACTTTTGGCTGTCTCTTCTAAAGCTGTTCTTCTCATGAACAAGTCTTGACTTTAAAAAAAAACAAAAAACAAAAAACAAAAAAACCTCAGTCTTTCCTGCCCCACCTACAGGATTCAGTTGAATTAAATACCTAACAAGGCCCTTAAAGGCGGGTAGGGGGAGCTGGATATGCTGGGACACACCTATAACCCCAGCAAAGAGGTTAGGAGGAAATATTGCTGCTTTGTTGCAAGTTTTAAGACTAGCCTGGGCTACACAGCAAAACCATATCCCCCAAGGGGTGCATAGGCTATTGGGGTTATAGTGCAGTTGGTAGGTTGCTTACCCAGCACGCATGAAGCCTTGAGTTCATCCTCTATACTGCATAAACCATGTTCCTCTAGTCCCAGCATTTAGACAGTGGGGGCAGAAGGCTCCAAAGCGCATAGACACTTCCAGGTCACCTAGGATATATGAGATTATGAGATTCTAATTCCAATAGTGGGGGGTGGAAATATCTAGCATAAATAAGGCCTTGAGTTCAATCTCCCCCCCTCCCCGCACTGCAAAAGGAGGGGGTTGGGTGCTGTTTATGCATTTGGTGCTGATGAGAAGGTGAGTGGGTTAGCATCACTGTCTCATCATCCCTGTGGCCACTGCCAGCTAACATCATCCTTCCCCAGTAGGTGTCTCCTAGGTTGTGTGAGGCAAGAGGGGTTATGGAGTCTCTGGCTCTCGACAAGTATTTATTATTATTATTATTATTATTGCCCTTCTCTGCTTTTGGGTGTTTGACTTGCTCTCATGACACCAGAACAAAATACACAGCTCCCCAGTGCCCTGCACACACACACACACACACACACACACACACACACACCTGGCATAGGCTTTGCCCTTTGAGGTCCTGCCTACCTTTTCCTCAGCAAGTGGGCCTGCTCCTGATCCAACCTCTGCCCAGATCTACTGGCTGCTCAGCTGTCCCTGACTTACTCTTTCTCTCAAATCCAACAAAAAGGTAAAAGCCTAATTAAACCTGAGTCAACTGCTTTACTTTATTCAGAAGACAGAATTTGATGATTCTCATCCTTAAAAGTCAAGCCATTCTTAGATGAAGGTCTCAGTGACATGTACAAAATTATTGCCAATTCACTGAAAGTTTGCAATCCAAACCTCTGCTTAAACTAGCTTGCAGTTTCTTACCTCAAACAAAATCAAAATCTTTAAACAAAAACATTTTCTTTTTTTTTTTTTTTGGTTTGGTTTTTCAAGACAGGGTTTCTCTGTGTAGCCCTGGCTGTCCTGGAACTCACTCTGTAGACCAGGCTAGCCTCAAACTCTCGAACACAGAAATCTGCCTGCCTCTGCCTCCCAAGTGCTGGGATTAAAGGCGCGCGCCACCACCGCCCGGCAAACAAAAACATTTTCAAGACAGAGTCTTGCTCTGAAACCCAGGCTGCCCTCGAATCTTCTCAGCTTCATGCTACAGCCATCTGAGTGCTGGGATTACTGGTGTCTGCCACCATGCCCAGCGTTCAAAATCTGACACACTCTGCTCTCTAAACCCACCTAGTAAGTCATACATGGTGGGACACTCCTGTAATCTCAGCACCTGGGGATTAGAGGCAGGAGGATCAGGAGTTTAGGTCATCCTTGAACACATAATGAATGTGAAGTCAGCTTGAGTTATATCAAACAAACAAGGGCTGGAGAGATGGTTCAGCAGTTAAGAGCACTGGCTGCTCTTCCAGAGGTCCTGAGTTCAATTTTCAGCAACCACATGGTGGCTCACAACCATTTGTAACGGGGTCCGATGCCCTCTTCCGCTGTGTCTGAAGACAGCTACAGTGTACTTAACTACATAAAATGAATAAAATCTTAAAACAAACAGACAAGCGAATGAATAAATTGAAACCAAGGGGTACTAGATAAGTTTATTCAAACATTCATTTGTTTGATTCTGGTATCCTTTGCTTCCTTCTCTTTAAACTCTTGCCATACAAACTCCTTCCCACTCAAATACCTCAAGGTCTTTCCCCTGACCATCCATTCTGTCTCAAATTCCATTCGTTTTGAGATTATCACACAGTTCATCATCTGGATGTTGGTTGGGACACAAACACCTTGTGGGTTTTAAACCATCACCATGATCCACACTGATTGCCACCATGCACCTTAATCACTGTCTGACATTGCCTTGCACACTGCACGTGAAGCTCCCTCTTAGGATGTATTCTCAGCCCCAGCATGGTGGTGTATACCTGTGATCCAGCACTCAGGCGGTAGGGATTTTGGGGGAGTAATCAGGAATTCAAGATTCTCCCTGGCTACACAGTGAATTTGAAGCCCTGGGCTACAAGAGACACAGTCTCAAACAAACAAAAACCAAAAACAACAATAACAACAAAAGGTGGAGGAA